AAAAAATAGCCAGCAGCGTACTGGGCTATATTAACAGTAATGTTACTTGCAAATCAAGGGCTGGTTGGACAGACACTTAGCTGGGATCTTGTATTCAGGAGTGACCTTGCTTTGAGCAGGGGGCTGGACTGGCTGGAGATTTGTGAAATCAAATAGTAATTTAACTACAGAATGTCATGACTTATTTCTGAGGGATATCTGTAAGGCTGCATACTCCTTCAGGAGCAAGAGGGGTCAGGTGACAATCAACTCTAGGAAGAGACTTTGCAGGCAAGTGTTGGGGAGTCATCAGGAGCAAATATTCAGTAGTACTGAGTGACTGGGCCTGGTGACCAGGAGCAAAAATTCCACTTAAAGGTCCTGCTAGGTTCAGAGGTTCTTTGTCGATCTTGCGGCTTGAGGATTTTGATTCTCTGAGGCCAGGGAAACTGCAGAGTATAGTGGGAAACAGGGTCACTGTTTTATGTTGCCATTTCCATTCCTTGCATTTGGAAAATAAGCAGCCATGTGGAAGGGGCTAAGGATTGATTTGGGCAGCATTGATCATTCCTCAGGCTGTCGAGCCCACTTGCTTAAAAAGTCCAATTTCACTTTCCCAAGTAAAGCAAGTTCTGGTCTGGTATTTCTGGAAATGGCTTGACAAGTACTTGTGGCATGTGATGTGGCAGAATTTGGTTCAGAAAAATCCTTCCACTCTCAAAGAGCAGTACTTTGCAACACAAATATGTCATTCAATTTCCCAGTCAGTGTTTATGCTACAGTACAATTTCCTACATAAAATAGTAAGAAGAGCTTACCAGCCAGAAATGCTTAATGATTAGGGTGGTACACAACTGAAGCATTACTAGTGAAATAGCTCACTTACTGATTTGTTGCCAGGTAGCGAGCCAATTAGCAGTGCTGGTTATTATTTACATTTCATGCTATATATCACTAAAATTGTGTTGTTGATTTATCATTTATATTGTTGTATTGTCAGCATAATTTATTCATATCATGCTGAGATACCTGGGAAATTAAGTAATAAAGAAAATGGCATGGAGTATGTCTGTATTCAAAGATATTTACTTGGGTTTTAATGAGAATGCATGTTAAGGTAAATCATAGATCACTTAGCTATTAAATTGTTTCGGAAGCAAACCCATTAAAAGTTTACTTCCTATATTTTCTATATGGGAAAAGGTTTGCTTTTGTTTTTAATTTGATTTTTTTCCTGCTAAATAAGTCTCTTTTTTATTTGTTGGTTTTAAGACCAAAATCATACAAATTCAATTGAGTAGCAGATTGCAAGAAAAGCAATGCAAATTAATATACTGCTTGAGGTTTCCAATGTCCATTATTTATTAAAAGCCTTTTTTTCTTTTTTTTCTGTTCATGTATTAGAACAGTATCTTCTTAATGGAAATTAGATTTAGTTGATTTGTATTTTTACAGTTAGACATTTTCTGTGGCCAGTTCTAAAAGTCCAACAGGGAGAAGAAAAATAAGAGACAAAACCTTGGAATTCCATAGGATGTAAGTGCTAACAATGTATATTTAAAGGGTTTTAAAACATGAATAAGTAAAAGAATAAAATATAACCCAATTTTTGGTTTGGTGGTTGCTTTTAGAATACAAAGGAAATTATTTTAATGTGTGCTGATGCTACATAGAGGCTATATGCATTATCTTTTATTGGAAATCTTGTGATCCTCACCTACATTACATACAAGCATACACACAGAATAGATTTAATCAATGTAAAATTCTTTGAAGCTTCTTTACAATTTTTTAGGCATTTCAGATTTTCCACCAGTTCCTAAATTTTGACCCCAGGATCTCTTAATCTGAAGACCTACTGTATTACTCTCTAGCTTCCACTCTGCCCTTTTAAAATCTTTTGACTTCCAGTAGCCTGAGCATTTGTTCAGAATGGTTCTGCTGGTCAAGAGCTCATTTGGTTCTCTTGGAAATGTCCTAAGTGGAAAAATACTGCACCAGCAGGGAGCTGCAGTGGATCATCTCTAGCAGTCTTAGTTCCAAGATGCTACACTTTCTTTAGAAGCTTCCTGCAGAACCATAAATTTAATGTGAAGTGAAAAGTATGTATTTTTTTTTCATGAATTTATTATGAAAATGTGGCTTTTTTGGCTGCCTTTGCCTGTGGCACAGATTATTTCTTTCATGTTGCTCTAGCATACCCACTGAAATAAATAACACATACTCTTTTCTTGCGTATCATGATGTGGAGATCTTCTGAAAATGACCTTTTAGTTGAACAGCTCTATTGACTCCCACACTTGAATTTCCTGCCAGCTCAGTGGTATGATTTTCAGTTTTTGCAATGCTTGCTATTCATTGTGACCCTCATAGGCGCTTTAAAACCCAAGATGAAGAATAAGTGTACTGAGCAAACAGCATCAAGCCTTGAGCTGCCGTCTAACCATATGGTTGGCTTAGGTCCCAGTTCAACTGAGGTCTTGGAAACGCACTTAAATCGAATTAGATGTTTGGTCTGTGAAGCCAAACTAAGACCCTGGGCACCAACTTGTGGGGAGAGGAACAAAAATGGCAGGTGCCATACTGTTGGCCCTGCCAGTGCCTCCATCAACAGCCCAGTTGCAAATGCTGTGCTTTGTGCCATCACCACCCAGGGCACAGAACTGTCCAGTTACACCTCTGCTGCATGGGGTTGCTGAAATCAGCACAAAAGCTGTTTTTTTATGAATCTGAAAAGGGTGGATCCTGAAATTAGGGCTATCCCTGATTTTTAGAGAGATATTTATCCTAGCAGGTGATTTTTTTAAAATTATGGAGACCCGGTGTTCATGCATATTGACATGACATGTTCAGCTCTATATTGGATGAGTGCAAAACCATGGAGGAAAACTCGGACTAGTTTCAATATAAGAACATGATATGAGGTAAGACAGGCTTGTGCTTTTTTAGCAATGCTGTAACTTTAAGCAATGATGTGTAGGAATGACATCATAATTTTCCAAGAAGTAACGATGCCTGTGCTCTGGTTTTTGTGTTCAACACTGAGTTAAATATGGGTACAAAAGAGTGTAAATGAATGTATTATAAATATACTAAAATAAAACTATTATATTGCATTAATGACTAGTAAACCGATTATAAATTATTGATGTTTATCAATTTATCAATTGAAAAAGCACATTTAAAATAAAGAGGAGAAAAGCAGGACCAATGCATCACAAAATATATTTTGCTTATTTATTTTGATAATCGTAGTTTAGGTTTAATGGGTAATTCTTGATTTTGAACTAGCACATTTAGGGTAATATATTTATAAAAATACTGCATCCTAAGTAAAATGAAACCTCATTGTAGCACTTAGCTTGAGAGTGCTGACTGAGGAGTGAGCGAATCACCTTTTTTTGTTCATATCATAAGGTGTCTGAATTAGCCAGGGCTGAGTTACCAAGGTTCTATTGTGCAAAATACACAGATAATTGCAATATATGAATGTGTTTTGTTTCACAAACCTACTAGCAGCAAATGCCAATTATGAAAATTTCAAGAGGTCAGCAGGTTTGCCACTTTCCACATTTCTGCTGGAACCTCTGTCTGTCTTTAAACAGCCGAAACAGAACACGTGATTGGCTATGGAGAGATGTAGCATTTATCCTACTTGTGAGAGAAAAAAAGATCATATGATTTGCTTTTAGCTATGTTATTTGAGAAGCATCAGATCTTTTCTGACTTGAATGATAAATGTCATATTCCCCATTTAACCCTTCCATTACATATTTTCTTTCACTGTAACTGCATGCCGTTGTCCAAAGCTGCTGAACTGTTTTGCAGTTGCCACAGACAATGGGATTGCAGAGGCTTGAAATATATAAAGAATTTGACAGCAAAAGTTGATAAAATTAGGTTCTAGCATTTAATGTTGTTTGCTATGAAAGTATCACTTTAATGACCTCAGTCACATTCTTTTACCTTCTGGATAATCTTTAAACCAGCCTTTATTTCACCACAAACTGGCATGGGCACAGGTGCTGGGCATGTAAGTTGTTTCATAGTTTCATAGTTTCTAGGGTTGGAAGGGACCTGAGAAGATCATCTAGTCTGACCCCCTGCCATGGGTCAAACAACCCCAGCAAGGTGTTCATCTAACCTCTTCTTAAAAACTCCCAGGGTAGGAGCCTGCACGACCTCCCTTGGAAGTTGGTTCCAGACCCTAGCCGCCCTGACCGTGAAATAGCGCCTCCTGATGTCTAACCTAAATCTACCCTCTGCTAGCTTGT